TTTCTTTATGGTCTGAGAGCTGGCTGTGATATGATTATGATATAGCCTAGATATTTCAAAGTAAATTTTAATTCAAATAATCTTTCTGTTCTGCCAAAAACATAAGTTTTCCCAGAACATTTTGATTTTACTGAAATATTGCTTAGGTACAAGATTGTCTGTAACTTATTTTACTTTGTGTTCTGATAATTATACTGTAAAATGAACCATGATCTATATTTTGTCCACCACTAGGATCATGGGTGGACAAATGTTTTCTCTGAATATCCTTATTAAAGGACCTAAGAATATATTACATAATGACAAAACGTTTTTACTTTAGTTTTCCAGTCAACTACATAATGACTGTGTAAAAGAAGCACATGTGTTTAATTCCTTCATCAACTTTCATCAACTTATTGATGAGAGAGGGAGATGGAGATTTTGGATTTTTTTTTTTTTTTTTACGGTAACTTTAGTCTGGCTGGAGTTTCCTTTCTGAGATGCAAGAGGGTATCTAGATTTCAATTTCTCCTGTATGGAAGGAAGAAGCTTAGAAGGTCCTAATCGCTCCTTCCTATTGCCCTGTTTCTAATCTCTGAATATTCCCAATGTAGACCAGCTCTATCAGTCTTTGTGGTACATAATTTCTTTGTGATTTGAGTCCCAAACCTTTCTGATTGTATTTCCTAAACATTTCTTATTGTTGTAATTGTTAGATGCCATTGAGTTGTACCAATATCAGGTACAACAGAATAGAAAACTACCTAATCCTATGCCATGCTCAAAATCATTGCTGTATTTGAGCCCACTTTTGCAACCACTGCATCATTCTGTCTTATTGAGTGTCTTCCACTTTTTTACTGACCATCCACTTTGCTTATCATGATGTCTTTCTCCAGAAACTGATTCTTGATGATAATATTTTCTAATTAAGTGAGATGAAGTCTTACTATCCTCTCTTCTAAGGACAATTCTGAAGTACAGACAGAATCACTCCATTTCTTACTTTAAAAGTTTTGCATTCACTAGTTTGTTTCCCCTTCCCAATATTGGGAAATCTCATAATTTTATGAAATGATGTATGCCAACACTGAGATTGATTTTATGAAGTTAAAAATGCATGTCAGAACTTGGAATGCATGCAGTTGTATATGTTAGGGGAGAGAGACAGAGTTAGAGGCAGAGAGGGATAGACAGGGATGAATACAAGGTTTGTTACACTCTGAATTCTGATTTTTCCATGTAGAAGCTCTGGTGGTGTAGTGCCTACAGCATTTTACTGCTAACCAGAAGGCTGGGGGTTCAAAACCACCAGCCACTTCTCTGAAGGGAGGTTGGGTGATCTACTTCCATAGAGATACCATGTAGGAAACCCAAGGAGGGGTCACTATGGCTATGAGTCAAGACCAACTTGACGGAAGAGAGTTTGGTTTTATGTATGTGTGTGGTTTTTTTCCTCCCCAATAACATAAACTCACAGCTGCCTAATTTCCTAACTAATCTTTTTAGTTGCTATTGTCAATTTGATCTCATATGCATACTTCAAGATCTATTAATTCTTGCATTGTCACATAGGTTAACATTCTGCTCTTCTTAATGACATATGGACAATGCCTATAGACATAGAAATAAAACAGATGATCTGGGATTAAATACATGTATTGCATTCTGCAGAATTTTCTAAATACTTTTTGTTTATTTTTTTAGTCAAACTATTTTCAAGATTAAAAAATAAAAATCATTGCCATCAAAACTATTTGATGAATAGTGACCCCTACTTGGGTTTCCTAGGCATTTTCTCTAGGGAAGTAGATTGCCCAATCTTCCTTCCAAGGAGTGGCTGGTGGGTATGAACCACCAGCCTTCTGGTTAGGAGTCAAATGCCTTAGGCAATACACTATATATTCAAATTCCTCCTGTTATCTCAATATCCAAAGTAAAAAATAATAATTTAGAATGTAAGTCCATCGAAAAATGATCTGATTCAGGAACATGATATTTTTCAAAGACAAACTAGTGATAAGGTAGAATGGATGAACTTGATACACTGAGTTAACTTGACCTGAAGTTGTTAAAGGGGAAATTGGATACCGAATTTAGAATGTATTATAGAAAGAATTAAGGATCACAGAGCACTGGTTACACATTGTTTATGGATTCTCACAAGTTTATAAGCTGTGATTGTATAAATATCGTCCCCATCAAACCAAAATATACAGATTCAGAATTGTGATGTATAGTTCATGGTCCACCCTGCCGGAATTGAACACACAGGAAAAGATTGAGTCATCCTGATGTCAACCCCATTCATAAATATCTGAATTATTCTCACAGTGTATCTAGCTCTAACACAAAAGATGATGACAGACATTCATCTTGCTTGTGAACTAGAAAAAAATATTAATTCAATACTTTACATATGATTGGATTTTATACAATAATGTCATATTATCATATTTGATATCTGTACAGACTCAGTCCCCTTATGGCATAGTGTCTAAGGCACTTGACTGTTAACCAGAAGGCTGGAGTTTCAAATGTACCAACCACTCCTTGAAAGGAAGACTGGGCAATCTACTTCTGAAGAAATACCTCTTGAGAAACCCAAGGAGGGGTTGCTATGAGTCAGAACTGACTTGACAGCAGTGAGTTCAGTTATTGAATTATTGAATAAGTATCAACTTATTCTTATTTTATCATTTGTTTTCTGAAGTAATTTTGACCAACCATAGCTTTCTCATGGCATTTTTCACTTCTTTATTCCTTAGTGTGCAGATGATTGGATTGTGAAAGGGCGTCCCAATGGTATAAAACACTGCCACCATCTTGTCAATAGGGAAAGTGGTAGGTGGACGTGTATACATGAATATACATGGACCAAAGAATAAGATGACAACAATGATGTGAGAGGTACAAGTGGAAAGGGCTTTTCTCCTCCCTTCAGCACTGTGATTTTTCAACGAACGCAAGATAACAAAGTATGAGATCATCAGAAGCAAGAAACTACTTGAGCAAATGGCTCCACTATTGGACACCAACAGTAGGTTGATCACATAAGTATCCATACAGGCAAGTTTTAATAAAGGCTGCAAATCACAGCAATAATGATCAATCAAATTGGGTCCACAGAAAGACAGTTTCAAGGCCAGGGCAATCTGAGCTATTGAATGTATAAAAGACCCAATCCAGGCCAGAATAATCAAGATGATGCAGACGTGATGTTTCATAATGGTTGGGTAACGCAAGGGCTTACAGATGGCCACATAGCGATCAACAGCCATGAGGATGAGGACAAAGATCTCCATGCAGCCAAATAAGTGCAGTGCAAAAACTTGCATCATACACCCATTGTAGGATATGATTTTCTTTGCAGAGAGAGCATCCACAATTAGCCTAGGGGCTATGGAAGTTGAAAAGCATGTGTCAGCAAAGGACAAATAAAACAGGAAGAAGTACATGGGGCTCCCAAGAGCCCGGCTGAACTGGATGGTCACAATAATGAGCAAATTCCCCACTAGAGTTCCAGTGTAGAAAATTAAGAAGATTATGAACACCATTTTCTGCCTCATAGTATCCTGTGTCAATCCTAGCAGCGCGAACTCAGTTACACTCTTGTTTTGCTGCATTGTTTCAGTAGATGTAGGGAAGGTAGAAAGTAGAGAGAGCTAATCTGGAAGGAGAAAAGCAATCATTTTATAATACGAAAACTGCATTTTGAGATCAAATACCTATGTATTTGCAATGGGTAATAAATTACTCTTCGGTGTATTGATTTTTTGTGCATAAAGGGAAAGTCATAATAATTATTTACTTGGTTGTATATGAGGTTGTAATAGGAAAGTAATAATAAAGTAAACAATTTTTCATATATAATAAACATTAATGGTAGGTTTGTCATAAGTAGATAATTTCCTCTATCACTTGTCAGTTTTTTCGTACTGTGATGCCTTGCATGTTACTATGACGCTGGAAGCTATGCCACTGGTATTTCAAATATTAGTAGGGTCACCAATGGTGAACAGTTTTTAGTGGAGCTTCTCGACTAAGGCAGACAGACAAGAATGATGGAGCTATCCACCTCTGAAAAAAATCTTACGATTATTTCCTTGCTATTTCACAATAATTTCCTGAGTTGAATGTATTTCTTCAGTTTTTAGCAAACATCTATCAATATTAGAACAGTTTCAAAACAGAGAAAATGTGTTTGTAACTTACTTTAAATTGCTTTCATAGTTCTTGATCCTGGTAGTCCAGTTAGAAAATTTATAATACTATGTTGTCCAAAGATGTATCCTTCTCCTTATTCATCATTTTTCTGTTTCTTTTTGTGAAATACAATTTCTTAAGAAACAAGAAAGATGGAGGATATAGTTAAGAAAAAGAAGAGGGAGAACATTTGCCATATATCAGAACATCCTCTCAAATTTCAGGTTTAAATATAACACACCAAGGACCTAGCAAAGATGTTAGGAAGCTCCAAGTCCTGGAAGAAGCATTTCAATGTTATTCTTCTCATGTATAAGAATATACATAAGAGTGTCTTATATCTTGACTTCAATAAGAGAAGTAGAGTTTTAAAAGAAATAAATATGTGTTTATATCTAACTATATGCCTAAATGTATGCCTGACCTAAGCCATGGTATCTTCAAATTGTGTTCTATTCATGTGAGAGCTGGACAATGGTAACATACCGCCTAACGCACTTGACTGCTAACCAGAAGGCTGGAGTTTCGATCCCACCAGCCAATCCTTGGAAGGAACATTGGGCAATCTACTTCCGTAGTGATACCACCTCAGAAACCCAAGAAAGGGTCACTATGATTCGAGTCCGACTAGATGGCACATAACAACAACAACAACAACAAATCCTGATACGTTTGAATTATGATCTCGACAAAGAATGTTGAATATATCACGGAGTTCCAAAAGAACTAACAGATTTATCTTACAAGAAGTATACCTAAAATGTTCGTTAGAATCGAGGATGACAAAACTGTTTGACTTACTTTGGACAAGTTAACCGGAAGGACCAGTCTCGAGAGGAGGATATCACTTACTGTGATTGAACAGATCAGCTTTCTTCAAGTATTAAACACAATTAAATTATTCTCCAATAAAATCTTACCAGTTTTTATGCAGAGGTTAGGATGTTCATTTGCTTTATTTTCTTCCCAGGGTGATTTGGAAGCCACAAACACAAATGAGAAAAAATAATAAAATTCTTCTAAGATTTCCTTTGGTCTCCCAAAGACTCTTAGTTTCATCGCTGTCTACTGGAAGGCAAGCTAAGTTGATCTTAGGTTCATCCCACATGGTTGGAAATCCACTTTCACACAAGATTTTGACTGAGAAATGCATCTCTTTGGCCTTCCCTGGTGGGATATTTAACATGAATTGATACAAAATAGAGGAGTCTGGGGAAGCTCATTCCCTAAGTGTCCTTTTCCTCCCAATTAAGAAACGTGAGCCAGATAGGATAAAGAATTTATCTATAATTTGTCTTCTGAGATTATGGGGGGGGGGAATGACCCATTCTTGAAATTAAATTATTAATATGGGTAATAAATGACATTTTCCAAAAAATTTTTTAAGGTGATTTGGGTGAAAGTTCTCAAAGCAAATTGGTTTTCCACTCAGCAGTTGATACACATTTTGTTTTACAGTATTGATTTTGGTACTTAAATATTTTACTACAAATCCATAAAATAGTAAAGTATTTAACTTTCTTTTAAAAAGTAATAGAGCGTTTGATTACAAATTAAAAGCAGATACATATTTACATTTAAATCATAATTGTATTATACATAAAGTGTACATATATGTAATAAGTTGATAAATATTTATTTTCTATTTTCCCCAAACAAAACATAACTGTGGAAAATATTACTTTAATATCTGAGGAAATTTATCCAGTACAAAAAATTACTGAAGTACTTCTATGCCTTTTTAATTTTTTTTTTTTTTTACTTTTTATTATTGCTTGGGTAAAAGGTTACAGAGCAAATTAGTATTCCATTTAACAATACATAAACATTTTATTTCATGACATTCACTGTAATCCCTTCAATATAGCAGGTTTACACAAAGAAAATCATAAAACATGACTACAAGGAAGGTTGGGCAATCTACTTCCGTAGTGATACCACCTTGGAAACCCAAGGAGGGGTCACTGTGAGTTTGATCTGACTTGACGGCACTTAACGACAACAAAAGCACAATAAAGCAAAAGAAATCTATGCAAATTAAAGGACATGTTATATTCATGGACAAGAAGACTCAACATTGTGTCAGAGTTATGCTGCTTTGTAAAATGAGTTTGGGAGTATTCTATCCTTTTCCTTGTTCTGGAATAGTTTGAGTAGGATTTCTGTTAGCTCTTCTCTGAATGTTTAGTAGAATTCTGTGCAGGTGTCTGGAACAGTTTTGTTGTGAGTTTTTCTTTTACAATGAATCTTTTCAAATTTTCTTTTTTTTTTAATATTTATTTATTTGTCCTTGAGTGCAAATTTATGTAGCAAACTTGTTTTACATTCAGTGGTACATGCACATCTGATTTCATGTCCCATTTACTGGCCCCAATTAAAAAAAAAAAAAAAAAACACCTCTCCTCCCCTCTCCTCCTTGTGACCATCCCCCTCCCGTGCCCTTCTCATCTATACATTCCTGTCTGTCCAGCTTTCCCTCTACGTGAGTGCTACCCCTTTGGTGTTTCATTAATGAATGATCCAAGGGGTGCATCTCCCTAAAGTATGTGGGTGTTCTATTTGTAGATCTTTCTACTGTTGGACTGAGAGCCAGTCCATATAAGTGAGTCCATTTCTAGATCTGATGGGTAATAATCCAGGGTTCCACCAGTCTCTCCTACAAGTAATTATGGTCATTTTTGTCTTTTTGAAATTTGGTCTACATTTTTCCTCCCACTCTTTCCAGGATTTCCAGATTTGATCCCTTTCTGAGCTGTTAATACTGGTAGCTGGGCACCATCTAGTTCTTCTGGTCTCAAGTCATGGAGGCTGAGTTTCTCTTGGTCTATGTTACCTTTGGATCACTTTAATTTTCTTCACTCTTCTTTGCTCCAGAGGAGAGTAGACCAAGAGTTACATCTAAGAGGGCCACTCGAAAGCTTTTAAGATCCTGGTCGTTATTCACCAAAGTAGGTTGTAGAACAAAATTGTTATGAACCATGTGAGCATGATGTCCCCCCAAACTATTGTCCTTAACCTCCAGTCCTGGTGATTCTCTGTCACAAGACATTGTCTCTGAAAAGTTATTCCAACCCTGTCTTCTGTTGCTTCTGTAATGTATGTGGCTAATTTTGTAGCACAAGTGCATATGTCAGATATTCTTCAGCTAATTCTATCCTTTGTTTAGTGTGTATTCCTGTTTGCCTACTCCCAGCTGCTCTTCTCACCTATCTGTGCATTAATCCGTAGCATGTTATTTAGTGCTAGTGATACTGTAGGGTTGTGCATGTAATAGTATCTGCCTCTGTTGTTTATAACTTTTGTGCACATTTCAGTGTCTTTCCTTTCCCTAATGTCAACATGCTGGTCACAGATTCTTTTCATACTTTTTCTCCCATCACTCAAATCAACATGTGACACTCAAATAGTCTGAGATTTTCCCTTCCCTTCCTTTCCATCCCCAGGAACCAAAAAAGTGAGTTCCCCTCCTTGAATCAGCTTTCTTTGACTTTTTACAATAGTGAGCTCATACAATATTTGTCCTTCTGTGATTGGCTTATTCCACTTAGCATAATATTCTTTAAATTTATCCATTTGAGATGATTCGTGTACTCTTCATTATTATTTAATGTTGCATAGTATTCCATTGTGTGCATTTGCTATAGTTTGGTTATCTGTTGGTGGGCATTTAGGTTGTTTCTGTCTCTGCTATACCGAATTGTGCTGCAATGAACATGAGTGTGCTTCTGTCTGTTCATGTTTTGTCTCTCATCTATTTAGGATATGTTCCCAGTAATGAAATTACTGGATCAAATGGTATTTCTATTTTCATATTTTTAAGGAAATGCCATACCATTTTCCACAATGGTTGTACCATTTTGTAGTCCTACCAATAGTCTCACTTATTGTTGTTGTTGTTACGTGCCATCGAGTCAAACCCGACTCATAGCGACCCCTCCTTGGATTTCCGAGGCACTATCACTACGGAAGTAGGATTGCCCAACCTTCCTTCCGAGGAGTGGCTGGTGGGTTTGAACCGCCAGCCGTCTGGTTAGCAGGCAAGT